CTCTTCTTGTTTCTTTTCTTTTTCCTCCAACAACTGCTGTAATTTCTCTTCTTGTTTCTTTTCTTTTTCCTCCAACAACTGCTGTAATCTCTCTTCTTGTTTATTTTCTTTTTCCTCCAACAACTGCTGTAATCTCTCTTCTTGTTGATTTTCTTTTTCCTCCAACTACTGCTGTGATTTCTCTTCTTGTTACTTTTCTTTTTCCTCCAACCACTGCTGTAATTTCTTTTCTCGTTCTTCTTGTTTCTTTTGCTGTTCTTGTATTGCTGCCATCAAATCTGCTAAGCTGTAGTTTGATTTGCTGCTTCTCGTTTCCATCTTCTTTTTTTCTTCTTTTTTTTATCCCACTTCTGACACCAATTTGTTACGTCTCTGTTCGTTAGTTAATTTTCCGTAACTTCGTTCCGACGAAACTTTAGCGACACAAGTCCTTTCTTAAATAAAACTGGTTTATTCTTTCTGAATATAACTTTGCGATACACTTAATTTCAACAGTCGCGCTATAATTCTCAACGATCTTCTCACGTGCTTAACAATATTTTCTCTGACTGCAGTTCAATTACTCATTACACTGTTGTTGTGACCATCCTATATATACCAGACTACCCCCAATCTAGTAGTCTCCCGATAATTCACGAAGGTTCGAGAGAAGGACGTGGCGTGATACTAGTCACGTGACCTCGCTGACCCAACAATATATTACCTATTTAACTTTGTTTGAAACATTAAGGCGAATGGTTTACGTACAGCAGAACTGGTCAGATCAGGTTTATAATTAAGCCCAAAGCAACACAATGGGCTATCTGTGCTCTGCCCACCACGGGTATCTAAACACGTATTCTAGCGTTGTAAGTCCTGTTGAAACTTTTATGATGATTGCACGTCTCTGGCTCACTTTGTTTTCTGTTTAGTCATAATGAAATTGTTGTATAGGTTGTCATGAAGTTTTATGTATCTATTAAAACTTATAAATTCAAATAGTGTTTATCTTATAACATAGATTAACAAGTTAAGGTTGTATACAAATAATTTTATATCCAATCTCACCTTTCTATTGCACGTTTTATTTTAAGTATGGTGTTTGAGTGCTTATACAAGTGTGTTTTCCCAACCAAGGCCTTCATCATCCTTCTGCATTCACAAGCACTGTGGGAAAAGCAAACATGTATATGGTATTAACTTATAATCATAACAATCTACCTAATCAGAACTAAATTAAAATCAACCTGCTAATGGGTAAAGTTCATTTAATATACTTTTATCACGCTCTTACTGTTAATGATATTTTCGGTCTTAAATAGAATAATTATTCACAAGGTTCTGCCAGTATAAGAGATAAATTAAGCTAAAAATGCAAGTCTGTATAGAAGTAAAATTATATATACTTAACCTTCTTACTAATGAAAGTATTAGAGTACACATCACTTACTTAAAT